GGGCGGGTTCCCACGCAGAGGACCCGAACTTCCCTAGGTCACGAGCGGAGTGACCCTGCTCAGTTCGCTCTCGGAGGGGGGAGAACTGTGACGTAGTGGGGGTACCTGGCTGGGTTCTATGCTGCTGGGTCTGGGGGGAGACTTGGCCGCTGGAAGCAGGGCTGGCTGGGGGCGCAGTGGGGCTCACTGGGGAAGATCTGGAGCAGGAACCGGCCAGCGGGATGCAGAGCTGTCGGAGGGCATGGAGGAGAGCCTAGGGGAAGGGGCTGGAGTTTAGGGGCCCAGTCTCCCCCATCTCAAGGGGGCCTGAGGCATCCTAGCCCAGTTCCTGTGACCAGACTACATCTGTGCTGCGCTGTGCTGGAGGAGCAATAAACCACCCTCAATTCCACTGGCTGGTGCAGTCTGTTTGTGCCATTTCGGGGTGCAGGAGACGGGGAACCCCCAACGCGCCGTCACAGTCACACACAGAGTTACAACAGCACAGGACAGTAGAAATCCTATGCAATGTGACAAGCGAACAGAGTGAATATCATCACTGCTAGCAGGCAGCTAGGTCCCTCTCCTTGTAGAGCTGGAGGGAGACTGAGCTCCTCCTGGCCAGCCACCTATTTATAAACCCCTGCCAGGCTCTGATTGGCTGCCTCAGGTCCTCTCCTGATTGGCTCCCAGCCACAGCCCTTGCCCAGGGCTGTTTTGACTCTTTCCATTCCAGTGTGGGGAAATCACCCTTCCACAACTCTGTAATATCTCATTTAGTTATCTCTTTTCCACGCTAAGATGTGCCAGTCTTTTTAATCTCTCATCATATGGAAGTTGTTCCATACTGCTAGTAACCTTTGTTGCCCTTTTCTGTACCTTTTCCACTTCTAATATATCTTTAAGATGGGTGACCAGAACGGGATGTGCCATTCAAGGTATAGATGTATCCTGGATTAATTTAGTGGCTTTATGGTATTTTGTTCCTTATTATTGAGCCCTTTCCCAATCTTCCTAACGCTCTCTTTGTTTTTTTGACTGCTGCTGCATGTGGAGCAGGTGTTTTCAGGGAACGATCCATCCACAATGACGCCAAGATCTTATTCTGGAGTGGCAACAGTTTAATTTAGATCCCGCCATTGTATATGCAGAGTTGGGATTGTGTTGTCCAATGGGCATTACTTTGCATTAATCAACACCAAATTTCACCTGCCATTTTGTTGCCCAGCCACCCACGTGAGAGATCTTCGTAGCTCTTCACAGTCTGCGTTGGACTTAACTGCCTTGAGAGCTTCGGTATCGCCTGCTTGATTCCTTTGTCTTCTCATGCGAAGGATAAAGATTTACTCTCTGTCCCTTGTATCTCCAATGGGCTTGTATTTATTTGACATGTCAGGAGGCCTCCCAGGGGCTCTGCTCGCTCTGACCTCCACGGAGCCAACGCCATGTCAGTTTTGCAGTGCTCCTTGATTTCACAAAGCAAATGCATTTCCTGCAACTTCTGATGCAAATTAATACTCCATTATTCACGTCTGTCACACCTGGCTTGGTTAGTCTTGGAGCCAGAAGTGCTTGCCTTCCCCTTTGGAGGACCACTGTGACGTAGTGAGGGTACCTGGCTGGTTTCTATGCTGCTGGCTCTGGGGTAACCCCCACTGGCTGCCGTGGATACCGCGACCCAGCAAAACAGGATGAGTCACTATGCAAAGGGACCTCTCAACCGGTAAGGCCAGACACCCCCCATGGAGAGGAACAAAGGAAGGTGGAATGCTGCCCTGGCTGGGGGGCAGGGCTGGAAGAGTGTGGGTTAGTTGCTGTCTGGGAGCATGGAGGAGACAGCCTAGGGAAAGGGGCTGGAGTTTAGGGGCCCAGTCTCCCCCATCTCAAGGGGGCCTGAGGCATCCTAGCCCAGCTCTGTGACCAGACTACATCTGTGCTGTGCTGTATCCTGGAGAGGCAATAAACTTCCTCTATTCCACCTGCTGGTGCAGTCTGTTTGTGCCATTTCGGGGTGCAGGAGACGGGGGACCCCCAACGCGCAGTCACCCCCCCCCACTGTTTTGCCTGCTTTTTGGTTCTCCAAAACTTAATATCAGAGGCTAGCCATAATTCCAGCTGCAGTGTTATTACGAGCGTTTCACGGTGATATTCACGACCAGGATATTACGAGTTTGCCAGTGATGTACTACATGACGCTTTTCAGATGCAGGTCACAACAGCAGTGAGTTTGGGGTCCGCTGAACTGGCGAGGCCATCTGCAGCTTATTGCTAAATACCACCGAGAACTTTGCTATGTGGCTTAAGGATGCTCTGAAGCTCCCATACTCCCAGCCACCCCCTCTAACCCCTAGGCTATACTTCCTTCCAAAGCTGGTCTGCTGGGTGTGGCGTGTTCTCGTCGGGAGGGCTGTGCACAGGCCCTGTGGTGCACAAAGGCGTCAGGGTGACAGGGCTGTGTATGCAGTGGGTGGAGGTATAGTCGTAAATGGGCAGGGGAGCCGACAGGCTGCACAGGCCCCTGGGCAGAGGGCATGGCCAGCCCCCATGCTGCCCCGAGCGCAGCGCCCCAGCCCCCAGCGAGGTGCCGGGGTCTCCCGCGGCTCCCGCTGCCCCATTAGCCATGTTGCTGGCTGGGAGCCCGAGCACCTTTGAATTGCTGGGCCCCGGGGCAGCTTCTCCCTTTGCCCTGCCTGTCAGCGGGCCGGGTACGGGGCTCCGAGACCTCTCCCTTAGGGAGCTGGGATCATACGCAAGGGGCAAGGGACCTTCCTCTGCAGCAGTGCCTGGGCAGGAGGGCGGAGCACAGAGCCGGGGAGGGGTCAGAACTGGAGAATGACAAGCAAGAAAAATAGCAACCCAGGTAAAACTTGGCTGAGGAGACCACAGTCCCTTTTTCTGCAGGGGCCCCCCTCTCTCCTCCGCTGCTGGGGGCTGGGGCCCGGCCCGTAAGATCCCAGCGGAACAGCCAGCGGGGCAGGCAGGGGGTGTGCAGGAAAGTGCCCATCCGCATCCTTTCATCTGCCCAGTGAGCAGTGGGGCCAGCCACTCTTCCCCACGCTCACGGCACACCAAGTGCTGCCCTGGCTTGCATGCTGCGGGGGGAAGGGGCAGCCACGGGAGATCCCCAGTGCGCCAGGATGCAAGTCTAACACGAGAGTGCTCACGGCGCCCCCAGCCAGCACGTACAGCCTGTTGCTGGTTCCGAGCATGTGCTAGTGAAGCCCCGCGTACCGATCTCTGCCTTCTCTCACCGCTGCCACTCTTCACATCTCAGGTGTCCTGAGCAGCGTGCGGCCATTGAACAGATGGGGAGGATGTTCCTGGCAGTGGGCGTCCATGCTCTGGCCCCAGGGATCTCTGTTAAAACCTACGTGCCCATCTGAAAGCAATCCCTTGTCTCTTTCTGTTTAAGGACTTTGGTTTCCCTAGCTGGCTCTCGGAGCAGGTCCTGGACGTGGGTGTTCTTTCTGCCGCTCTGGACAGCGCCCAGGTGGAGGTGAGCGGTGTCTGTGCATGGCGCTGTGGGCGGAGGTAACGTGTCCGGTGGCGGGGGAGAACCCTGGCACTTGCTCTGTGCTGCCCCATGAGACGGGCCGAAGGGAAACGGAAGCGCAGCGTGAAGGCCACGTGGTGAGTGTTGGCCAAGCTGGGCTTAGAACCACGTCTGCCTGAGCCCTAGAGCAGTGCTGAATGCAGCCCTCGGCTAAGCGCCAAGGCAGTGCTGGGTGCTCCCTGCTTGGAAAGCCAGTTCCCCATTGAGCCCTGTGGGCCGACCTTCCAGTGCCTGTGTGTGTGCACGCTGGGCCCTCCCCTGCACTGCTGGGGGCCGAGGGTACTTTGGGGGGGTGTTCCTCCCCTGAGCGGATGGGTGGGGCTTGGGTCCCAGAGAACACTGGTGGGGGAAAATAAACGGCTGTTCCAAGAAAGCCAGAGGCTGACTTGCTCAGACAGGTCAGTGCCAAGAGGCTGGAGCGTTTGGTACGTGTGGCCTCGCCGGGCGGGAAGGGAGCCCTTCTCGCTGGGCCACGGTGGCAAGGGAGGGCGTTTGCCACCCCCAGGGAATGGCTGGACGAGGGCAGCTCTGTTGGAAGGAAGCTTCTCAGCCTCTCCAGCTTGTTACCAAGGCTGATTGTCAGCCCAGCCTGGCAGTGCCTCAGCTGAAGGAGCGCACTGTGCAGTGCCAGGAGGCTTCGGGTCGTGGCTCCAGCCGGGCTTTACTCCGCCCTGATCTGATTGGAAGGGAGTCGATCGGCCGAGCGGAGTGTCGGGCAGGGAGTAGAAACCCAACTTTGCTGAGCTCGCTGTGGAGAACACACGTGGCCTCTTGTGCCCAATAGCGAAGAGATGGGGTGTGAAAGGGAAGCAGGATATCTGCCTGGGGTGTCCCCTCTCCTTTCCGCGGCAGCGTGCGCATCGTGCAGGCCCATGTTCCCTGTCCCCGGGAAAGAGAGCTGGTTTGAGATGGTGCCCACCGCAGACCTGCAGCTGCTCCCATGTGTGGAGCGACACTTCTAGCTGCTTAGGGTGGGTTTAGTTCTACACACGGGGCTTGCTTTTGCTTTGGCATATTAGCCCCTGTGACTGCCGAGTGAGCCACGGGAGGGCTGCTCGCATCGTGCCCTGTCGGGATCAGCCGTAGCCGAGTGCCATAGCTCTGCAGAGGCTGCGTGTCTGTGTCGAGAGGCATGGGGAGCCCCCGCTGACGGCGCCGTCTCCCTCCCCTGCCCCCAAGCCTTTCCGGGGACGGGAGGGGGCTAAGTCCCGCCTGGCAGGAGGGTGGAAAGCTCGGGGATGGCCCAGTGCTTTGAGATCTCCACTGAAGGTTTTTTAGCCTGGAAATCTTTATCTTGTCTATGCTCAGGGCCGGCAGAGCAGGGTGGGGGGGCCCTTCTTGAGGAGGAGGGGGTTTCATGTGGCTCTGGGAACAGTGTTGTTCACCTCGGTCTGAGCTGGACGAGCGTTTTCCCTCCTGGCGGTGCCATTACTGCTACTCCTGGTTCTTCTCCGGAAGTGCAGCTAGCGTAGGCTGGGCACCCCAGCCCCAGCCGTGTGGCCCCCCCCCCCCCAGCCGTGTTAACCCTTTGCCACTGGACTGGCTCCAAGGACGCCGTGTGTGAGCTGCTGGCATCCTGTTCAGCCAATGGAGCTACCGCCCTGGTAGCCATAGTGGTAAAAGGCTAATATAGAAGCAGGCACAGGGCCTGGTCTAGTCCCCTGTGGGGTCCATGGGAATCTCATCTTAGAATCACAGAGCTGGAAGAGACCTCAGGAGTCAAGTCCAGCCCCTGCTCTAGGCAGGACCAATCCCAGCTAAATCAACCCAGCCAGGGCTTGCTCAAGCCGGGACTTAAACACCTCTAGGGATGGAGACTCCACCCCCTCCCCAGGGAACCCAGCCCAGGGCTTCCCCACCCGCCTAGGGAAATAGTTTTCGTAATGTCCAGCCTACACCCCCCCCACTGTAACTTGCCTGCTTTGGGCTGTGATCCTGCCCACACGGAGCAGGGGGCTAGGCTCACCTGTTGGAGAGCAGCTGGTCTCCCTGGGCTGTTCTCCCTGAGTGGTCTCCCGGAGTGGTGGCAGCCTTCGCTCTTGGCCAGGATCCCCACTCAGTGGGTGGCACTGAGGCCAGAGGGGAAGGACTTGCCCACGGTCACACGATGAGTCAGCGATAGTCAGGATTTAAGCCCTGGGCCTCCTCACTCCCAGCCCAGTGGCCCAAAGCCGCCCCCTGGCGGCAGCCTTGCCCTGCCGAAGGTAGAGGCTAGCTCAGCTTTTAGAAATGACCCTTGACAGGCAGAGTTAAGGGTGCAGGCTGCTCCAGTTAGAGAGCGAGCGTGAGGGTGACTCCAGCTGGCAGCGAGAGCTTCCAAGGAGTAAAAATAGCCCTTGTGCTTTCCACGGGGACAGTGCAGCCAGGAGCCACCTGGCTCCTGGGGAGCGGAGCCGTTAGTTGCAGGAGAGCGGGAGATGCCTGCAGAGGTCTGACCGGGTTGATGTGATCAGACGTGACAGCACTAGCAGGGAATCCTGCTGCTGGTTGCTCTGCTAGACATTTGCATAAATCCGGGCTATTTATAATTTCATTTCTTCAAATGTCGGCCCGGCCCCTTGGTGCATGTCGGTATGGCGAAGGCGCGCCTGAGTGCCCCGCCACCGATGAGTGCGCGGAGCCTCCGCTGGGGACGGGCTCTTAACCCTTCCCCTGCCAGCTCAGCCTCCGCCAGTGCCGGGAACCTGGCATGTGATTTCACCCCGGCATCACATTGGGCCAGTGACTCAGCCCTGTCTTTTCTAACGCAACAAGTGGTTTTGGTGCCTGACCTGGCTTCCAAGGTGCCGAGTCCCTGCTCTCTGTAAACCTTTCCGGATGTCTCAACTTGGACACCCCTGTTCTCCACGATCAGACCCTCTCCCCAGGGTGCGGTGTGGGTTTGAGAAGGACTGAGCATTTTGATCTCAGCGGTTGCTTGGCCTCTTTCTGAGGGGCAGTTCGTTTGCTGCTTCGGCAGGGTGCTCAGCTACAGGGACAGTGCTTCACCAGCTTCCCGCCTCCCTTCTGCCGAACCGCTGTCCGTTCTCAAGAGCAATGGAGTCTGCAACAGCCCACCGTTTGCTTTTCCCTGCAGGCCCAGGGGCTGGGAGAAGAGGAAAAGGACCAAAGCCAAGCCAGCTTGGAAGCAGAGCAAAGCAAAAGAACCGAAGGTGCTGAGAGGTATGGTAGAAACAGGCCAGTACTACAGAGGATGGCTGGAGAGGCCCAGCTCTCCACTGCTCTCCTACCCAGCCCAGACCTGAGGCTATTGTAGTGTGGTCATTGCAGCCTCTGCAGGAATCCACCTGAGGGACACCCCAGGACGGCTACAGCTTCTCTTATCTTTGTCTTCTGTCCTTCACTTTATTTGCGTCCCTGCTCTTTTCCCTCGTCCCTGCTCTTTCAGCAGGGTCAGTGCTGTTCAGGCCTCTGGCAGGCAGGCTCGCAAACACGTACCTTTCATCTCCCTGAGAACAGCAGCTGCATGTTTCCCTTCCGGCCGTTTGGCTTTTCTCTGAGGCTAGGAAACTTGTCTTTCTTCTAGGTTGCTGACCTGGGTGAACGTAGCTAACCGTTTGTCCTTTCCGGGTTCTCCACACCAGCTCAGCTCTCCTGTTGTGGCTCGAGGCATTTAACCGTGGGAGACCCAGTCTCTAGATATCACTGATACCACCCGATTATTCAGGGGCTGACACAACCCCCACCCAGCCCTCTTTAAACTGGGCCCGTGGGAATGTCAGTACTGTGCAGCTGGCTTATCCGTGGCCACGTTCTTGCCAGTGACAGCCTGGCTCCCTGTTAATGCCAAAGGCTGAACCCAGCCCTGTTCTGTTTGTAGAGGAAACGTCAATTAGAAACTCCTCTCCGTCTGTGGCATCGTAGAATTCTAGTGTTGGGCATCTGGGAGCCACAGTTCCGTGCCCGAGTGCTGAAGACGGCCCTCTTCCAGCCAGGCTGATGGAGAGACTGATCCGCAGTAGTGCTCAACAACCTGCTGCAGGCCCTGGGGTGCCCCGTGCACTTGTGCTTGGAGATGCTGCTCATATGCTGAAAATATGTCCTCTGTGCAGCAAGCATTTTATCACTGTACCTGCACCCCAGCGCTGTGTTCACTCTCTTCCCCCTCCTCTCTGCTGGTAACCCTGCTTTGTACTTCCCTAGGCTGTCTGTCGCTATGGGCATGCCTGCCAGTACTTCCAGCTGTCATTCAGATCCAGGGGAGAGCTTGCTAGGGGGCTTGGTTTGTCTTCAAAAATGCTTTGGGAAATTCTCCCAGGACTTGGAGAAGAAGGGACATTTTCCTTGGAAGGGATTTAGCAGTTAGAGATGGACAGACACTCACTTATGCCCCCAGCCACCTATTAGGCCTTGTCTACACTGGCACTTTTTGCTCCCCCCCCCCAAAAGTGCCTTTTGGTGACAAAACAGTGAGAGTGTTTACACTGCAATGTGCCTTATGTTGGGGGGAGGGGACACCCAGTTTTGGCAACACAATACCCAAAAGTGCCTTTTGGTGACAAAACAGTGAGAGTGTTTACACTGCAATGTGCCTTATGTTGGGGGGAGGGGACACCCAGTTTTGGCAACACAATACTTCTACCCCTGTGAGAGACTTTTGTCTTTTCCCCTCCCTTTATTGTCAACAAAGAGCCAGTGTGGACCCGGCTGTTTGTTTTGCCGGTTGAACTGGCTTCCGCCAATATCCCACAATGCCTGCCCTGATGGCTCTGCTCAGTATTTTGTGATCCCTGCTGCCCTGCAGGCCTGTGCCCTCCCTCCCCTTTTCAGAGTTCCAGGAAGTGTCTGACAGCTGAGTGAGCTGCTCCATTTGGGAAACAAACAAATAGCAAATCATTGGGATACTCCTGTTCTGCCCTGCTAGGAACACAGTGGCAAGCAGACTGTTGCTGCAGGGGGAGGGCTGGAGAGACGGCTGGGCTGCTTTGACGTTCCTTGGCACGGAGAGCTCCCAGAGCTACGAGGGAATCCCAAGAAGCGCAGGGATCAGCTCTGCCTTCCCACCGCACTGCATTGTGGGACGCTCACCCACATTGCTTTGCTCTGTCTGTCACCAGGGTGCCAGCAATGTGGCCATGAAATGTCGACAATGGGAGGCAGAAAAAATGGTTCGATTTGTTTTTTAATGTTGACAACGTTTGCATGTGGACAGCACTTTTGTTTCCAAACCTCCCCAGTGTAGACACAGCCTTGGCCTTCCAATGCTTGCCGCTCCTCCTCTGGTTTGGGTGATGGAAGGGAGCTATTGCTTTGCCATTAGGCTACAACAGTGTTGGACTAGCTAGCAGGTGCCCTTGGCAGGGATGCGACTGTGCTGCAGACTGCTCCCCTCCATCCTGTTTACATGGAGCAAGCAGCGGAGTCCACTTTTCACTAATCTATTCTTCTGTTACCTTTTTACTGCTGCAAAGCGAGAGGGAACAAAGCCCCGCGAGTGCTTGCGAAGGGGCCGAAGAGAAGTGTTTGAGCTTAGAGAGCGCCGGCCAGGAAGAGAGAGCTGCTGTGGAACAAAAGGAGGGCTCGCTGAATAGTCGCACTGGCCCGGAGGAGTCTGCAGCCCCTCACCAGGTGTAAGGGCTCTGGCGCCGGCTTGTCTGTTCTCCTGTGTGACCCCGGCTGAGTGTGGCGATGTGGCTTGGTGCTTTCAGTGAGATTCTCAGTCGGGCCTACGAGAATGAGTGTGAAAACAAGAGCATTGCAGCGTGCGCCTCCTAAGTGCACCTGTTCCTAAGGCGTTTTGTTGACAGTCCGGAGGCCAGTTGTCTGTCCGAGGGAAAATAAAGTAGCTGCTCCTCTTGCCCAGCCATTGGGCCTGCCAGAGTCAGGCTTCAGGATCTATTACTGAGCGTGAGAAAATTCAGGTCAGGAATTAGACCATCAGGTTGGTTCCCGGGCAGTACAGAAGTGACTGAAGCCAGATGTGCTCCCTTCCTGCTGGGAAGAGAGCACTTCAGCATCTCTGTGGGGCTAGCAAGGCCAGCCGTGCCCATCGAGTTTCATGCCAGAGAGCAGAAACGTCTCAAAGCGTAATGGCGAAGCACTGCCGAGACCAGAGCCACAAGTCTCAACTGCGTTTAAGTGCCCTGCCACCAGCGAACGCTGGACTGCCCGTTGGCCTGAGAGACCTGGAGTATGTCTACACTTGCAGCCTATTTCGGAATAGGGCTGCAAATGTAGGCATTCGGAATTGCAAATCAAGCCCGGGATTTAAATATCCTGCGCTTGATTTGCATCTTCCCGGCCGGGCGCCAGTTTTTGAAATTTACAAGCCCGGGATAAATGTCCGTGTCTACACGCGGCAGTGAAACGGGCATTCGAAATAAAGCCCTAGTTCGAACTACCTGTTAAACCTCATTGCGGGAGGAATAACAGGTATTTCGAAATAGGGCTTTATTTTATTTCACTGGCTCTTTGTGAGATCCTATTGCTTTCTGTTACCGGAGCCTGGCACACTTCCAGCACATTTGTGTCTGATTCAGGAGAACACCTGCTCCATAGGTAGCATGTTTGCCTGAGCCAGACACTGGCAGGTTTGCTTTGCTGGGGAAGGAGTGAAGTTGGCTGAGCAAAGTAACCAGTCTCCAGTCCGTGCAGAGTCAGGGGACTAGAGAAGGCAGAGCTCTCTGAAGAGACAGGCGCTATGGAAAGTGTGCCGTGTTTGTGCATGGCAATTGTGTATTTACGGAGCCAAGCCTTCGCGCTGGGGAGCTCCAGTGGGGTTAATGCTGAATGGTCTTTTCTTTTCAAACCTGTCATTCTTTCTCCATTTTTTTCCCTTTTCTTTTTCCATCCCCATGGCTGCTGTTCTCCACGATATTTGCAGGGAAGCCTCCCCTTTTGGCGGGCAAGCTAGGCTTTCCAAAGCCAAGGGCTGCCGGGCTCCTCCGAGCACGTGACCAGGAAAGCGCGCATTAGTGTAACACATGGCCTCTCTGCATTAGCGCCACGGGAAGGTTCCGCTGCTGGAACTGATGGAAGCACATGGAACCCAGAGACCAGTCACAAAAGAGACACTTTCCTTCTGTCCCCTCTTTTGCGCAAGGGGCAAGCTAGGCTTTCCAAAGCCAAGGGCTGCCGGGCTCCTCCGAGCACGTGACCAGGAAAGCGCGCATTAGTGTAACACATGGCCTCTCTGCATTAGCGCCACGGGAAGGTTCCGCTGCTGGAACTGATGGAAGCACATGGAACCCAGAGACCAGTCACAAAAGAGACACTTTCCTTCTGTCCCCTCTTTTGCGCAAGCTTGGGGGCCAGGTGGTCCTTGTGCAGTGCTGTGAGGTCAGCGAGGTTAGGCAGAGGCTGGATGAGAAGGGGAGAGCCCCTTGCTCTACTTCCATCAGGAGCACCGCAGAGTGTAGGGAGGGAAGCAGCTGCGTAGGTACCCACAGGAGCTGGGTGTTCCCTTTGCGTGTGAGCCGGGTGTCCGCGCAGTGCCTGTCCGTAGGAATAGGGAGGTTGGATCGCAAGGCTGGGCCTGCCCCCCTTCCGCCGGGAAGGCTGCGCTGTGTGTCTGCTTGGGAAGCGAGGCACCAAGAGAGGAAGTGGCTTTCCCAGTCACGCAGCCTGGCAGCAGCGGGGGCAGGACTCCGAGTCCTGCATGGATTTTTGTGGCTGTGGTGCTGTGCCCAGCGGTCGCTGAGCAGTGTGTCCTCGCTGCTTCCTACGCGAGAAAGCCGGTCGCCATCCGTGGAAAGGGCAGCGCGTTTGTCCCTCGGTGTGACGCCTGCTAGATGCAGTGTCATTCCGCCGGAGAGCTGCGGAGCCCCGAGTGTCCTCTGATGTCCTCCCCTCGAGTGTCCTCTAGGGCTGTGCTAAATCACCCACCAGCTTGGTGCCTGGGCCCAGGGACTCTGCTGCCAAGCAAACCGGAGTAGATCTCGGGGCAGGGATCAGGAATTAGTCTGGCACTTCACTTAATTGCCCTCTAGCGCCGGGCAGCCCTGCCAGGCCACCTGCTTGTTTTCTGATGTCCCCTGAGAGCAGAGGAGCCTACTGCTGTGCTTTGTGGCCGGGGGAGCTGGTCTCTTGCAGAACCCGGATGGTGGGAGCAGCTCGCTGGCTGGAGCCAACTTTGCCAGCCTCGTGTCTGGGTTACCGAGCTGGAGGGGCAAGCTCTTGTATCCCTGGGCTTTGCTCTATGCTCTCCTTTTCTTGTGGCCCCCGTCCCAAGGGGGCCTCTTCGGATGAAGGCCAGGTGACGAGGAGATGAAGGATCAGGGAGAATCCGAGTGGGAGGAGGGCCTCGAGGAGAGCGGCAAGAGCTTCTTGGGGGAGGGCACGAGAGGTTTGCCAGCTGAGCTCCCCATGCCAGACATGGGCTGGAGAGCCGGTGCTGAAGGCAGCACCAAAGCAGAGGGCCTGCTGGCTTCCAAGCCCGCGAGCTGCAGCTGAGGGCTGGAGAGCGGAGGGCAGGAGCCAGGGGTGCGCTGGGTGAGGAGGCTCTCCCAGTGAGGGGCGCCCAGCCGGAGGAGGCATGCCCTCCTGCTGGAAGGGCTGGGCTGTGGAGGAAGCCTGCTGCCGCGGGACTTCCAGGCCTGAGTGGGGGGCTGCTCGCGCTGTGATTCAGTAACAGACTGGCCCTGCAGGAGCGTCTCATGACGGTACTGGGGCCGGGGAAGGTGGGATGCTGAGGCAGGCCTGCCTGCATGGGGGTGGCCTGCCACAGGAGGGCGCCCAGGGCCACCTTATGAAGCTAAGCGTTCTACTTGGGGTTTGCTGACCCTGGCTCCCGCTGCCCGCTCCAGTCCGGAGGCTTAGCCCCTGCCCTGTCTCCCGCCCGTGCCAGAGGCCCTCTGGCATCCTGCCCATTCAGCCCAGGCCTTTCTGGCCTGAATCCACACCCTGCACGAGCTGCTCTCCCCCCCCTGGCCACTGCATGGAGCTGCAGCTTAGAGCCTTTTGCCTTTCGGTGTGACCCCAGCGGTCCCTAGGGCATGCCCTCCAGCTTGCCCGCCAGCCAGCCCCTCCTGCAGCGCCGCCTGGCACCTCTTGCAAGCCAAGTGGTGACGGAGTCAGCGATGTGCAGGGGAGGGCGGGTTGGAGTCAGTCAGTGCCAGGGGGTTCCCGGTGCAGGTCCTGGCTTCTGAATGAAATATGCAAGTGACGCCCTGCCCACGTCACGCTGCCTGTCGCGAGCCCTGCTGGGCAGAGCTGTGCTATTGACCCTGCTGCGCTGCTGATTCAGTTCCAGCTCGGTAATGAGATGCTGCCCCCTGAATCTCCTGCAGTCCCAATTGGATACAAGGCAAGAGGTGTCATGGCATCCACAGAGCGGGACTGGGAGCTTGGCGAGGGGCTGGCTTAGTTCTCCCGTCACCCTGAGAGGCACAGCAAGGGGAGAAGTTGTGTAGCGAAGCACATCCCATCTCTGCCCCGCCCCTCTGCTTGCACCGTCTACACTGCTCGGCCTCCCATCAGCAGCTGCTGTGCTCTAGGCCGGGGTGGCGGCAGTGATTTCTGTGTGTTGTTTCACCAAGGTGCCTTTCAGGGGGCTCAGCTGGCGTTTGTGCCTGGCTTTGAGACCCTTGCACCATCAGTGGAGTAATGCTGTTCTCAGTGCACTAGCCAGTTACCCTTTTTAAAGACAGCTTCCTTTTCTTCTGGCAGAGCCCTGCGGGAGGAAATCAAGCAAGCGGCGTCCTTGAACAGGCCTTGCGCACAGTCCCCAGAGGAAATCGCCCAGGAGCTGGAGCAAGACAAAATGCGTTTCCTGCAAGCAAAGGAGGAGAAGCTTAAGCGCTTCCAGGAGGAGTTGAGGCAAGAGGAGGAGGAAGAAGCTCGAATGCTTCATCAGCAGAAAGAAAAGTCCCTCCAGTAATTTCTTTTCATAGTAACCTTCATCAGCAGAAAGAAAAGTCCCTCCAGTAATTTCTTTTCATACTAACCGTGCACCTTCCTGCTGAGACTCCTTGCTGCGGGCCCCATGCGCGTGCTCCCACGGCCGGCTGTCCCTGGGATCTCGAGATGTCTGCAGGGACCGTGTGTCGCCTGCAAAGGAGACTGGGGCCTTTGCCCGTGTCTGGCGCACAGAGGGCTGGGCTGGGGTTTTTGGATGGAGATGAGTGAGGGGCTAGTTTTGCCTGGTTAGGCCCTGGCATCTAGTGGACAATAACTTGAGTTATGGACCGGATGGACCCTTAACGTGGATGTGCAGAGCGTGTGTGGGTGAAGTGCTGGGTCTTTCCGGTGTAGAGCAGGGAGCCTTCCCCTCATCCAGCAGGTAGTGCTGTGATCTGATGCAAAGGTAGCTCTCTGCATATGCCCCTGTCTCGTGGGTTGTAAACCTAGGTAAGTGTCCTTCTCTGGCCTCATGTTCACAGCATGGCAGGTGTTCAAGCCCGGGCTAAGAGGCAGTGAGAGAGTGGGAAACTGGAGCATGAGAGGACATGGGGCTACTCCTGGGCTATGTCTAGACTGCAAGCCTCTTTCGAAAGAGACCGTCTAGACTGCACGTTGAACTTTCGAAAAAGCGGCTTGCTTTTTCGAAAGAAAGCATCCAGTGAGTCTGGATGCTCTCTTTCGAAGAAGCCCTATTTACATTGAAGAACGCCTTCTTTCGAAAGAGGAACTTTCGAAAGAAGGCGTTCTTCCTCCTGAAATGAGGTTTACCGCCATCGAAAGAAAAGCCGCGTTCTTTCGATTTAATTTCGAAAGAACGCGGCTTGAGTCTGGACGCAGGTGAAGTTTTTTCGAAAAAAGGCTACTTTTTTCGAAAAAAAACCCTGAGTCTGGACACAGCCCTGGAGTGCCGCATGCCGAATTCCCAACTACTTCACAACTAGGCTTTTCGGCGTCAGTGTTGTGCTTAAAAGAAGCACCCGGGATCTTTTTCAGTGGATAAGGCAACACCCCACATTTATTGAACATACATAGATCAATCAGCACTTTACCACATGCGTATGATACATTACACTCATGCGCACGCACGCGCACACACACACGCTCTCTCTCTCTCTCTCTCTCTCTCTCTCTTACCAATAGTTGCTCCCCCTAACTAAACTACGCTGGCCAGGTGAGTTAGATGGGGGAGGGGTGGAGCCCGGCTTCTGTCAATCTGGATCGATGTTCCCATGTTGACTAGATGAAAAGCCCGGGATCCCCCTGCAAGATGCCTCCTATTTATGCCTCTTATGCAGCCAATTAGTCATCCCCTCGCTTAATGCTGCTTCAAAGAGTTCTTCCAAGGGCAGGCACTTGCTGCTGGACTCCCAAGGTGCCTGTATGTCCAGTCCCCTTAATGAGCTCACTTCACAGGTATTGTCTTGGATCTGGCTCCCAGACCCTCTCCACCCTTGCAACTGCTGCTGATGTGCTCACCATTCATTCTCCATTCACACCTCATTCATTTCACCAGGGCAGTCCAGGAAAGGGGAGAGATCTATTCTACTCCTAGCAAAAGACAATTTTCTTTACCTTACCTATTCCTAAAACCTATAGCATAAAGAGCTTGATACAAAGTTTGTATGGAAAAGGCTGGATACAGGGTTTCTCTTAATACAAGGATTCTATAAGAAAGCTTAGCATAAAGATGTATACATATCTTGTTCTTATAGATATATAAAATCCCTTAATACAAAGTTCTATGAGAAGGATACATGGTTAGAAGGAAATGTTCCAGAGATTTATCCACATCAGGCATGGGGCTAGCTGAATATCAAAGCCAGTCAGGCTGCTTGGGCTGCCCAGGGAGCTGAACCTTGTAAGCCTCAGGTTCTCGGTTTCAGCATTCAGTGGCATGTCTGCACTTGGCCTCTGGGCGGCCTCTGAGCTACCTCGGTACAGTGTAGGCAGCTCTCTATAGCAGGTTTGTCTAGGCTGTAGTTCTCTGGCTTGTTCTCTGGTCAAGTGCCAGTATCAGTGTCTTTCCTGAAGTTGAGATGTATGACATGTACTGCCTCCCCCACCCCAGGCTTGTACCGTGTAATAGAAGGATAGTAGGTTGGTTTGACACATTTTATTTTTGACAAATCTATGTGGCCTGTTACTTATCACCCCCTTGTCTTCTAAGTGCACACAAATAGCATATTCAGCTATTTGCTCCTTTCCGGACATCGAAGTTAAGCTGACTGGTCTGTGATTCCCTAGGTTGTCCCTGTTCCCCTTTTATAGAGAGATGCTATGTTTCCCCTTAGGCATCTCTCCCATCCTCCACCAGTTCTCAAACGTAATTGCTATAATGGCTCAGAGATCTACGGTTTCTAGGATGTTTCATCAGGCCCAGCTGACCTGACGACATCTAACTAGTCTGTGTAATCGTTAGTTTGTTTGGTACCTGTTTTAGTCCCTTTTCACTCTGATATTCGTTGGGTTCTCTCACCATCGCTAACTTCTTTGGTGAAAGCTGAAACAAAAAAAGGCTAACGCTTTGGCCATTGCAGCCTCTTTCCTCTTCATTTAGTGCGGAGCCTCCCTGTTCCTGCTCTTCCTTTGGCTTCCCAGCACTGTACAATGCTTTCTTCTTGCTCTTTATATTCCTAGCCATTGAATCTCATCTCTTGCCTTTGCCTTTCTTATTATATTCCTAAATGTGTGCAGGGTCTTCATATTCATCATTGGCAATTTGACCTATTTTCCACTTTGTGTAGGACCGGCTTTTGGATCTGCAAGTCATCGAAGGTCTTCTGGGTCACTCAGTGGTTTCTCTCCATACTTCCTATTGTTTCCCTTGAATTGGGATAGTTTGCTCTTGTGGCCTTAAGATTGTCTCTCTCAAAAGAACTGCCTGCCAACTCTCCTGAACTCTTTTTTTTCCCTTAGACTTGCTTCCAGTGAGATCTTATCTACCCATTTTCTGTCCTTCAGAGAGCAGACTTTACTAACTTGATTGTATTTATTCTGGTGTTTTCCTTCCTGCCATTCCTAGAATTAGGAGCTGCATTGTTTTGTGATCACTTTCGCTGAAGCTTCCTTCCACTGTCAGTTTCACAACTAGTTCCCCACTGTGTGTCAGAATCAAATCCAGAACAGCCTCTCCTCTGCTCTTTTCCTTCATCTCTGATTTCAGACCAAGTCCCCAGTTTATATCAATGTTGTTTTGGAATTCTAATCCTATCCTTGAAAGTGCTTGCAGCCCCTCCCAGCATGGCATCAGAAGCATACTGTCCATTTTCCAAGTCATTAGTGAAAATAGTCATTAGTGGGCCCAGACTGATCCCTTTGGAGCCCCAGGAGATACACCTTCCAGTCTGACAGTGAACGATAGTAACTGCTCTTTCAACCAGTCTTCTCCCACCTTAGTCATTTCACCAAGACCACAGTTACCTAGCTTGCTTTTGAGACTGTCATATGGGACTATTTCAAAAGCCTTGCTAAAATCAAGATGCCATGTCTACTGCTTCCCTCCAGCTGCTAGGCTAGAAACCCTGTCGAAGAAAGAACTTAGTTTGGTTTGGCATTGGTAGCTCTTGACAAGTCCATGCTGGCTGTTCCTCCTCCAGGCGCTCACCAATTGATGGTTGAATAATTTGTTGTCGAAGGAGCAGGAGATGTAGCACCCAGAGGAGATGGTGGAGAAGCCAAGGAACAAGATGAAGGGATTTGTAGTAGAAGGGGCGCCAGGTAGTAGCATAAGAAGAGTTGTTGGTGTGAGACCTCAGAGCCCAGATCGCTGCGGAGGGATCCAGCCAGCCCCTCTGGAGACACCTTTTCGTTTTCAGCGCGCTCAGCACTGCGCAGCAACTGGCTTTACTGAGACAGAGTTCTAAGTAATTCCCTGTCGAAATCCAAGGAGACTATCCTGTCTCTTGGCCCCGGGTCTGTTAGACAGATTTGAAGGAATGCTGCAAAACTTTGGACCTTTCAAGGTTCTTTTGTGCCCAAGAGCCAAATTTTAATGCGTAAGGACCAGAAATGGAGCCCGGATTCTTGGGAGCGCTTCCGCCAGGTTGGCAGTGCCTATGCGCACTAGCATCAGATCTGTGGGTCTCCGAGGGAAGCCAGTTGAGATGAGTATAGCCTTTGACTCTTCTTTCCTGCTGCTGGTCACACAGGTCTCTCAAGGAGGAACTGACGAAAGCTTCTGAGGAAGAAGAGCTGCGGATGAGAGAGGAAGAGGCCGAGAAACTGTCAAAGCTGCGAGCCCAGATCAGCTCAGAGGCTGACACAGAAAAGGAGAAAATAAGGTGAAAAGCTGAGCGCAAGCTGCGTGACGCTGTGAGTGTGAGCCTTCCTTTGCTCCCTGCACATAGGGACCCTGCATGCTGTGGGGCAGCAGAGTGGCTGCGTTTACAAATGTCCGCTCACCGCAGCTGGTGCCTTGGCTAAGTGGCGGTTTAATCCCTGTATGGTGAGGGCTCCCCGTAGTAACTCTGGGGAAATTCTCGTAATCCTGCAAACAGTGAGGGAAATGGATCTGTTCATGCACAGCAGCCCTGGCCAGCTCTCCTCACGCTCACTGTGGTTCCTACAGCGGAAGAGGACGTAGATGTAGAAATGAGCTAGAACCACGTGGCTTTGCTGTGTGTCTCATTCCCCTTTGACTGCTCCGCCTGAGCCGGTCTACACAGCAAAAAGAAAAGAGCCCCGTGGCAGATGGCATCAGAGCCTGGGCTGCAAGGTTCACTAATGCTCTTTTCAGCCTCCGCGCATGGCCCGAGACTCACTCCTGCTCTTCCATCCCCCTTGGATGCCCTGGGGACTGGGGATGAATTCTCCCTACAAGTGAGTCCCACTGTCCCTTTGATTTGGTGCTTGGGGACATGGTTGGAGTGAGTAGACTTCTTCGCTAGCTCTGTAAGGGGCATCAGGGCTAATGAGAGTTGGAGGAGGCATGCAAGGCCCAGAACTAAGAAAGCAGGAGCATAATTTTCACCTCTCCTTTTTAGACACGCCCACACCCACATCCGCGCGCACACAAAATGTAGACTTTAGATAGTCTAATAGCTGTCTCTGGTCATTGCCAGACAGCTACTCTCATGAGTTGACTACACACATTCCTCCCCCCACCCCCCTTGCTGCCTCTGTATGAGAGGCAGCAAGGGGGAGGAGGCAGGAGCCAGCTCTCCATGAGCACCAGACTTCCCCCCCCCCCTGCACTGCTGCCTCTTGTAGTTACTACGTGCGATGCGGCATTGCAGTACGACTGTTCTACTTACCTGTATCGTCTCCCCTTCTCGCACCCCCCAGGGCAGAGCAAGCGGCTGCATTGCACAGGCAGCGGGAGGAGTGGGAGTCCCTGCAAAAGGTGGAGCAGGAGAGCTTGGAGGAGAGGAAGAAGCAGGCTTTGGCGCGTCTGAAGTTGGAAGTGGAGGAAGCGCAGCAGAGAGAAGTGGCCGAGCTGGAGCAGGAGAAGGAGCGTGTCCTGGAGGCGTTAAAGGAGCGATTAGAAAGAGAGAGAAGAGAGGTGAAACTTGCTTTTATACCGGGCAGAGTCAAAGCTGCTCCCAGGCATGCGGAGAAGGCTTGTCTTGTGGCACCAAGCCCCTGGGTCAGAGTCCCTGCCCGAGCATTGGCTCTGAGGCTGTGATATGCCCCATTTCCAGTGCACCCTTCCAGTCCCGCTTACCTGAGTGACAGCTGGCTCACACTTCGGAGGGAGGAGAGGGCCTCACGCTCCAGGCAATGCTGATGCTCTGAAGCGCTCTGGCAATGCTTCTAATCATTCCCACCAAGTGCATGATTCCTGGTGCAGAGGCCCATGCACTGAATCGTGTGATGATCTCAGAGACTCCAAGTCACGTTGTTCCTTGTGTTTGATAAGAGCTGCATGCTGGGCTCGGCAGACTTGGTGGGCTGGTTTCCTGTGGCTGGGCCAGGTGGAGGCTCTCTGCCTAGGAGCTGTGTGAGTGGCTGCAGGGCATCCGGGGACAGTCATTGGTGGGGGTGGGGGGGTCAGGAATCTCTTGTGCATTCTGTGATGAACCGAGCATGCCTGTGGCTCTAAACAGTGTGACCGGAAATAGTGGGATACGGTTTAGCCTGCACGATAGCACAAGCTGCAGAGTAGCGAGGCGTCTCGGACTGGAACAGTCTGAAAAGATGTGGCTGGAAACCCCCCTAATATTGGAAAACCAGCTTGGAGCGTATATTGTGGCTTGGAAGGTCATGGCCTGACTTAATTAGTCTCTTCCCATCAGTGCTTGTTCCGGTTCTAAGCAACGGACAACTGACACACCCATGAACAAACTAGAGACACGTGGGTGCGCTGCTCCTTGTTGCTGTCAAAGTGGGGGGACGCGTCTGCCCAGGTCCTGCGGGGCTCTGGCCTGGGTCTGACACTAAGGGGACAAGTGGACACAAACTGAGTCTTTCAGCAATGGTATGCAGTAGCAGGAGGCCGATTTCATTGTCGGGTGCAGTACCAGGGTTGCTGAAGGGAGGACTCGCACCTCCCGTGTCCTAGGCAGGAGTTCTGTTTCAATGGGCAAACAGGTTCAGACGAACGAGCCTTCGCCTGGCCAGAGCAAGCCATGGGGAGAGAGAACTGTTTGAATTCTGAAACCGGAAGCCAGTAGGGATGTAAAATCCGTTCAAATGGGTAACCCGTTAAATATATCGTTTACAGGAGCAGCTCCTGCCTGCAGGGTGCCTGGGCAGACCCGTCCGTGGCAGGCAGGGGCTGCTCCAGCCCCCACTGGTTAATGGCTAACCGGAACCGGTAAGTCTGCCCCGTTAACTGGGTGAAGCCGGTGTGCCATAGGAATGGTGCAAAGCCTAAATAAATAAACCCCGGAAAGAGAGGGTTTGAATACTACGGGACTGTGCGATGAGTTATTGAGGAATGCTGGGTGAGAAGGGAAACTGAGGTGGGGTGCCTCAGGCCACCAGAGGGGTGGTGGAAACTCTCCTACCATCCCCATTGGGGTTTGTTGTTTATACAAGAACTAGTCCCACGTAGCCAGTGCTCTGTTCCAGCCGGGTGTCTCGGTGGTGGCAGCACAGACACTTGTGCACAGCCCAGACTGGGGGGAGCTTTGCACTTTCTCAAAGGCAGTGTGTAAATGGCTGTTGAAATGGGCATTGGTACGTCATGTCACGTGGCAGGGGCCTTTCCAAGCAAGGCTGTTGGCTCCCCACAGGCGGCAGAGGCCCTGGAGAAGCAGTTTGCCACTGAGCTGCAGGAGCTAAAATCTGCCGCAGAAGAAAAGCACCAAAAGGTAAAAGCCGTTGTTCCCAGACACACCGGTAGCTGCTCCGCACTGAGCAGCGTCCCTGAATGCCATTGGTCCCTTCTTAGCCGTTTCTTCCACCCCCTCGCCTCCATCGGCACCTGGCCATGCTCCAGCGCGGGCACACGGCTCTCCCATGCGCACGCCGCGGGGCAGCCCTCGCAGAGGGCCCAAATGATGCTGGTTTCTTTCGGGGCAGGTTGTTTCCAGCCTCCGGAAGCAAATAGCGGAGGCCCAGAGGTGTGAGGAGGCCCAGCTGCAGGAGGAGTTGGAGAGAGCCGAGCTGAAAGTGCAGCACAAAATGTCTCGTGTGGCAGACTTCGAACGAGAGGTGATCACTTTTGTGCACTGGCGGTAGAGTGTCCATGCCGCCCTCCCTGCAGGCCTGCTTAGCCGTGGTGTGAGAGCCCAGCTGGACGCCGCCCTCTCTAGTGGCGGAGAGGGGCGCCAGAGATCGGAATCCGTCCCAGCTGTAGACAGAGTCTCTTACCTCTGTGCTCCACCAGCCGGACAACGAGCGTGCCAGGCTGCCCCAGTGTCAGCGCGCCGAGATGCCTCCGCGTCGCCGGGGTGGCTGCGCGCGGGGGGATGTCGTGCCTTAGCGCGGTGTAACGCAGCCTGCCTCTGCACCCACTGCAGCTCAGCGAGCTCATGAAGGAGACACGCCAGGACGTGGAGCGGGACCACGAGCGGAAGATGGAGAGGATGAAAGAGGAGCACAGGGAAGCTCTGGCAAGGATTCAGGATCAGTACGAGGAGGAGGTAATGCTGCTGAGAGCCGCACTCGGCCTGTAATGTCCAGTGCGTGGTGTTCGTTGTCCCAGACGCGGTTACCAGGGATCCCCTCGTTCTCAGGCTGGAACCATCGCTGGGCCCCTTGCCCCCTCTCCCTGGGGCCCCCTCCCTCCTGGGCTGGGAACCCCCCAAGGAGCCTGGGGGCCAGTGCCCCCAAAACCCTCCAAGGGCCTGGTGTCCTGACACCCCCAGGGGCCCAGGGCCCATCCTCTAGGGGCCCGGGGCCCCAGTTGCTCCCTGGGTGTGCAGCACTATCACACCTGCAATGAGTCTAGGGCTCAGGCTGTGGAGGAAAGTGCTGGGTGACCTGTAGAGTGGGCGAGTCTCCTTCGCGCGTGCGTGCAGCCATGGATTTGTGCCCCGGAAGCAGGGGCGCAGTTCTGTGCGGACACAGCTGCTTGTGCCAGGTCAGGAACTGGCCTGGAACATCCTCATGTCTCCAGTTTCCGACGAGGGAATTGCGACTGGGCGTGTATAAAGCTGTGTGCTCCCTAGGCCCCAGGCAACGGAAAGGTGGTTTCCTCCTCTGGCCTGTTTCTCTCCGAGGAGAGGCTCTTGTTCTAGCCTGTTACACAGTCTGCTTCCCACAGCTGTTTGGGGGGTCGCCTGCCCCCGGAGTGGCGGTGTGTGGGGAGCGGCGGGGAGCACGATGCCTGTGGAGATGCTGCAGAACCCTAAAGCTTTGCTCTTCTCTCTTGGCTTTGCGCCTTGCAGGAGAGAAAACAAAGAGCCGAGAAGCTGGAGGAGCTGAGAGGTGAGCTGGAGCGCCTGAGGCAGCTGCATGATGGGCAGCTGAGGGCTTTGCGGAAGGAGCTGGACGAACAGCTCAGTGACTTGCAGCAGGGTCACAAGGCGAAGGTGAGTGATGGCTCCTGTTTCTAGCCCAGCCACCGCCAGCAGCAGAGCGCCGTCTCCGGTCCGTGCGCACTGCTCGCGGGAGACCAGCCTGGTCCAGGGGCCCCTTTCTGAGCATGTCGCTGTTCTGTCCTGCGGGGAAGTTCTGAGCCGCAGACCCTCATCTCAGACCCTCCCGCTTCTGCGCAGGAACAGAGACTCCAGGAGCTGGAAATGGAACTTGAGATCCGAGCGAAAGAGGCCAAGGCCAGATCTGCTCAGCTCAACCACCAGGTGAGCCGGTCCTGCCGGGTGCTTTGGAAGTTCCTGGCTGGCCCAGCTCATCTCCCCTGGTCCATGGGACTCCCTGTGCCCATTCAAGTCCCAGGAAGAGCTGGGCCAGTGCTGAATGCCCTGGGCTTCCTGCCTCGCTTTGGGGATACGTGTCGGCCGGGCGACGCCTTGCGGCACGGGAGCGTGTTGTTCTCAGTGGCTCTGTGCCCCCCGTGCTGCAGGGCACAGCTCGCAGCGACCCTGGCTTGGGACGGCCCAGCGGGCTGGTCACCGGTATGTGCTCTTGTGTGAGAGACGGTCCCGGGACTTCATGCATCCTGTGGGGGCAGCACTCGGGCTGTGGCCCTGGATTGTTCTAAAGGCTGGAGCCCCCCCTGCTTCCCTTGCCTTGCTTTGAGAGCGGAGCCTCCGGGTGGGATGGGAAGGGAGCCGCAGCGACCCTGGCTTGGGACGGCCCAGCGGGCTGGTCACCGGTATGTGCTCTTGTGTGAGAGACGGTCCCGGGACTTCATGCATCCTGTGGGGGCAGCACTCGGGCTGTGGCCCTGGATTGTTCTAAAGGCTGGAGCCCCCCCTGCTTCCCTTGCCTTGCTTTGAGAGCGGAGCCTCCGGGTGGGATGGGAAGGGAGCCGAGCCGCGCTGGAGGCCCCGCAATCGGCAGCGCTTGAATTTGGGTGTGGCAGGGCAGGGCAGCGTGTCAGGCGCCGGGCTGGCTGCAGCCCTCGGAGAACGGCGCGGGGTTATTCCGAAGGGTTTGTGTCGGTTAGCCAGCCCTGTGTCACGGGGCCACGCACGCACAGGAGGGGCAGCAAACGCCCCTGTCCAATTCACGTTCCAAATACGGGGGAAGGGAATTTCTCTAAATAATTGGAAGGGGCCAAAACGAGTGGGGGGAGACCCATGAAAAAGAAACGCGCTGAAGAATTTCCCACAGGCCTTGAACACTGGGGCTGCGTGGTGCCTAGACCTGACCCTGAGGCCAAAGGTGCCTGGCGTCCTGACGCTCCCACGTTCTCTTGTTCGCTCTCCACTTCTCTGTGCAGGAAGAGGCCATGAGGAAGAGAAGGCAGCAGGCTTTGGAGGACGAGAAACAACTAGAGCTGGAGAGAAACGTACGTGTGCTCCAGCTCCCCATCGCTCCTTGTATTCGAGCCGATTAGCACCGTGGCTCTAAAAGCACAAGCTCAGAAATAGCTCGAGTTGTGGATCTCAACATCCCCCTTGTCCTGCTTCCGAGAGGCGCTGACTCGTTGGCAGGCTGATGAGCTGCGCGTGGCGTCCCGGGCCTCTGTCCGAAGCTGGGAATGAGCGAGAGGGGGCGGATCATGCGATTATTCCATGTTCTGTTCATGCCCTCTGGGGTACCTGGCTCTGGCAGCCAGGACACTGGGCTAGCTGGGTCTTTGGTGTGACCCAGGCTGGCCATTGTGATGCTCTTGTGATGCATTTCCTCGTGGTGCAAAGGGAGAGGTTACTGCATCCAGGGGTTACTCGTCTGGGCCCACCTGCTCCTTGCCAGGAACTGGGAAGCTGCTGTCCCACTGCTTCTGTTGCTTTTGAATCTCATTGGGCGGTGAGAACTCGAGTCTCTCCCCCTCTGTTCATAGTAGACTAGAGCTTCCTGCGGGTGGGGGGTGAGGTTGGCCGATGGCTCCATGCAGTGTGAGGGGTCAGCTTGAGCTGAGCCAAGCCGTCTCCAAAGCCAGCTGAGCACGTGGACACTCCCATGCTGCGTGCTGCCTGCCCGTGTCTGCCCGTTCCCAGACAGGGCTGGGCACGCCCGACTGTCTCCTTGCATTTCCTGCGGGGGCTGGGCATCGCACAGGCTGAGGGGTCTGGGGGTGCTGCAGCTCCAAGGTGGGCTTCAAGGTCAGGGCTGCCTCCTGGCAGGAGTTGAGCAAAGTGGAGCGGCTGTGCACCCCAGAAGTGGCGAGGGCGCGGTGGGCCTGCACAGCGGGGAGGGTGAAGAGGGGCAGAGCCTCACAGCGAGGGAGGGATGGGACAGCAGGTCGTGTCCTTCGGGGAGCGATGGGAGCCGGCCACGTTCAGCCCTGCACTGCCCTCTGCTGAGCGTGGGCCGGAGGAGGACTCGGTGCGTCCCTGGTGCTGTGGTTCACCCGCGGAGGAGCAGACCGTCCCTTGGGTGGAAGGCCCAGGATGGGACAGGCATAGGCGGGTGAGGAAAAGGAAGCCAGTGGGTCGGCATCAGCAGGGCGAGGCCGGGCTGCGTGAGCCATTTCGCTCCTCCCCACTCCATGTTCCGAACTGGAGAACTGTCCGTATTAGTGTCGGGTACTTGGGCGCTCCCTTTGCTCCCCTCCTGCAGCG